CGCGGCAATTGTTACATTGAATGTTTCTGTAGTATCATTGGAAATATTTGATTTCAATGTTTTGTGTGTGGTACTCGTATCTATTTTTAAATGAAGAGAAAGGTTGACCGCTGATTTAGAAGGTAAAAGCGTTAACGGTGCTTCTGACTGGCTAAATGTCTTTAATATCTGTGTTCCTGAAACCTGTTTCTCAGAAAAGCTTGTCAGCGTTGCTTCTAGGAAGCAAAGATGTGAAAACTTTCTATTGAACGGTTGGACTATAACATAAAAGATGTATAAATAGAAGAAAGTTAAATAAGAATAGTAGCGCGCGAAAGAAACTTCTATTTAATGGCTTTTTTTTCTGATCATATGGAGAGATATGGTAATACTTTTTAAAACTTGTGTCTAACAATATCAGATCAATAATGCACTGTCGGTTACTAGTACATTCAGTAACTATAAACACCAAATTTATATTAAAATTTGATCAACTACAATTTCACCCCAAAAGTTTACAGCTACTGACAAATCCTCTGAAAACCACAAAAATCCTCGTATATAAGCTTTATATTTCAAACTTCCTTAGGACTCGTTCGTTTTCGGAAAACTCGCAGTTTCCGTGATAAAGATGTATACAAAGTAAAGAGTAGTTAGAAGGAAGTGTCGGAATATTATTGTCCAATGTCTCTTATTCGAATAAGAAACGATATCACTGTGATACGAACATGAGTTATGAGTCAAGATTTACGTGGTCTCAAAATCAGAAGATCTGAGATCGTTGATCCTTCTGTTATGTGTAAGATGTTTGAGCGTTCAATTTCTAATTTTTTGTTCTTTGGTCTATACTCCGTTTGTAAATAAATAATTTGGTTTCATGTGTATTTTTTTGCTTACTGTTTATTATTTTGTTCATCATACTTCGGTTTTAGACAAATTTAACTACAATACCAAAAAATGGGTGACAAAAGTAGTAAATTGCCAAATTCAAATTCAGCTGAACTTACACAAAAACAACTTAATCTATTAAGAACAAATACAAAATATACAGAAAAAGGTAGTTGATATGAAATGTGTCATCGAAAGTTAAAAAGAACATTATAAACTTTAAAAGTTTTCCTTTGTCTCTAACGTTAACGTAATACAATATTTTTCTCTATTTGAGCTTCCTAGCCATCAGTAAATAGAGATTATAGCTTTAAGTAGGATAACTTCTACTACAGTCAAAATATTGATTCGATTATATGAGACAGGTTCAAAGATATGAGTCATTTGCAACTTTATTGTAAAATTGGTGAAAAATAATAAAAATGACTTTAAACAAAATTTGATTAGCACATCTTGTTCTCCGTTGTTTCCTGAGTCTAGAACCCAAATTTCCCGACTACCACACACTACTTAGGTATGTTCTAGAGCCTTGCAAATTGCACCACTTGTACAACTTTTGACACTCTTTCGTGTGGGTCAACGCTGTTGCAGTCAGGCAAATCCTTGTAAAACAGCGGATGTCAAAAGTTGGAAAATCTCGATCTACAAAGTGAATGTAAAACTCTGTTTTCCATTTTTTCGCCCGGTAAGAAAGACATTTAACAAAGCATTTTTACTCAGTTAGATGCAGCCGCCCTTGCTCTTTCTTATGGACATCTTACATTTCCAAAAAAAACGTTTTCTCAAGTGCCCAGTTTTATTTTGATCTCGATCTACAAGTTATCTGTAAACAATTTTCGCCATAGACGAGCATAAACAAAAGAACAAAACAAACCTGAAGGCACACAGTTTGATAGAGCATTAAATGCTTTACAAAACGTACTATTTGCTTTTTGCTTTTCGTTCCTTCTTTTGTTAGAAAAACTTACTTTTCTCTCAATAACTCATCTAAAAAACACGTTTTTTTCGACTTTTGCTGGGTTTATCTCGGTGAGTTGTTGAGATATCGAGCTTAGATTTTCTGTGGTAGTGAAGCAAGCAAACAGCGATAAAACAAAAAAAAGAATTTCGAAATCCGTTTTCAGAAACCGGAGTAATTTTAAAAATACGACAAAAACTCAATTGTACAATAAAGTTGCAAATGACTCATATACACGATAGCTGTTTGTTCAGCCATGGTCGTACTCTACTATGCAAGGTAGGGTAGAAGCAGGACACCCTACGCTAGAGATGTGCACGGGTACCATTTTCGTACCCGTACCCGACTTATACCTGAAAATTTTCCCCAAACTTTTGTTTTTCGGCTGAAGATGTCAAATTATCATTACGTTCTCAAGTAATTATTTTTTAAACCTTCATGTATTTTAGCTAAACTCCAGTATTTTTTCACTAAAATTTTGTGGGTTTTCTACTAAAACCTTCCGGTTTTCGGGTAAATTAAAGAAAAATAGAACCCGTACCCGACAACTCACCCAACCTTTGAGTCGGTACGGGTTGCATATCTCTACCCTACGCACACCTCTAGACAGGTTACTGTTTGAAGCCTGACATTTATTTCTGAGTATTTCGTTTTAGAAATTATTGATTGGCATACAGTAAGTTTGTTTTTTTCACCCAATATATATGACTATTTTATTTCAATTATTCTTAGAAATTTATTCATGATTATCCGTCTGGTAAATTGAATAAAAAAATGTTTGTCGATGTGTACCAACAATTTTATCCTAATGGAAAAGCGGACACATTTTGCAAACATGCTTTTCAAATATATGATACTGATCATAATGGTACGATTGACTTTAACGAATTTTTATTTGTAAGTATTAGGAGATAGGCAAATATTATTTCAATAGTTCATTTTGAGATTTTATTTTAGGCAGTTGCTGTAAGCAATCAAGGTAATAAATTAATCAATATCTTGTAATTGTCAAAATGAAAACTTGTACTTGTACTTCTTTTCGAGGTGATGTTAATAATAGATTAGCCGTGGCATTTGATATGTAAATAGTTTTATGCAATTGTGTGTCTTATGCTTGAATAAAGTTTTTTTTTAAATTAATTTTGCAGGTTAGATGTTTCAGATGATGGTCAAATTGATGCTAAAGAATTATCAAATATGATCTCAGCTATGGTAGTTTAATGCTTATAGTTTAATCTAGAGAATACTGATTTCTTTTTTTTCTGTTTCAGTATGATTTAACAGGCGAAAAAAATCGTAAAGGTGATATGGATCCTAAAAAACGTGCTCAAGAAATTATTAAAGAATTAGATATTGGTAATGATAAAAAAATCTCTAAAGCCGAATTTATTGCTGGGTATGATACTTTTAAAACATGACCTAATCGTATTCTCATTTTTATGATATTTACTCTAGTTGTAAACAAGATCCAGTTCTCCAAAAACTATTGGCACCAAATGTTTAGTTGATGTCACATCACTATAATAGTGATCATTCGTTTATTAAATTCAAATTTCTTAATTATTTTAGTTCATTCGATATTTTAATATATTGTGGGGATAATGACGATTACTATTCTTTATAATAAAAATTAATTCGGTAGTAACATAAAAATCAATTGCTATAAACAATCTATCGGTTTTTCTGAATAATAAACGAATTTATTGATGTTTTCAATTTTTTTCACTAGAGTACAATTATTCTTTCAACGTATTGCAAATGCGGTTGTTACAGTCAGGTACCTCGCTACATATGTCACACATATCACACATTATGTTTCGTTTTTCTTCTCTGTATTATCATCATCTCACTGCATGATCAGTAAATATCTATAATCGTTTTCTTTGTTCTTATTTTTCGTCGTCTGTCCAGTTCGTTTATTTAATCATTTATATACATATAAGAACTCATTCTTTTCCTTTTCCTTTGTTCTTGTATCGTATATATACAGATCTGTTTCAATAAAAAAGAGAGTTGACACCAGTACATATTGCAAGTGAAGAGGGTTGGGCTCTTACAGCGGTACATAAGTTATTAAGACAATTTTCTTCATAAAACGTAACAGGAAAAAATGGTCTTTTTTTGTAGCAACAGGTTTCAAAAACTATGAAAAAAATAATCAAACGCTTCAGTGAATGTATTCAGTAAAAGGTATTCTAATAGACATCTGGTTATTGGTAATAACATTTTAGATAATTGAATACTTTAGGGTACTTTTTTGAATATCTGCCCAACGATCCTAGTCCATTCTGTTTCAGTATTTGATTAGCTAAAAGGCTACTTCTAAGATATATCTCATATAATCAAGAAAATTAATAATTAATTATTCTTAAACTTGTCCTTGCTGAAGCGAGGGTGAGCGTGCAGAGTGGATGTCTATACTATTTTAATCGATTTAAAACTTGTCGCAGAGAGCACGTTTAAGCAAAAACATTTGCTTTGTATTAGAGTTGTTTTCTAGCCGATGTACCTGTTGGCATTGTGCTCAAACGTCGCTGTGCCCTAATGTCGGGTAATACATGGTACGCTCTGATGTCATTGCACCCTAGCGTCTGGTGATCAGCTGTCTGCCAGTACTCACACCACTATGATACTTTTGTGTAACAGACAGCTCGAACGTGTGCATGTCAAGTAAATCGTCTGCGTATTAGCGAAAAAAACGCTATTAATTCCCAAAAATAAATGGCGTTTATATACACCATGAAAACAAAACGGTAATTGAAACATGTATGGAAATAGAATATGATATGACAAGGAACAGAAAAATTATTATTTTTATCTATATAATTAGTAAACGACTGACAATAAGAATGTCGCTTATAAATACAATATTATTTTTGATATTGACAAATATAGATCGTGTAGAAAAGAAGAAAAAAGTATATTGTGTCAAGTTGACAAGCGAATTTTCTTGCATTCGAACAGATTACTCTGGTCCAGTTGCTTGAATATTTGTCAAAAAAAAATTGTCAGTCGTTTACTAATTACGCAGATGAAAATAATAATTTTTCTGCTCCTTGTCATATCATATTCTATTCCTGACGATGACAATAAATATCGTTAAAAGCTGAAATACACGATCAAAATAGTGATTGTTTAATAAAAATCAACATGATTTTTTGGATCAGTATTATATTCATTAATCTATTATCGTTTACAATCTTTTCCCTCTGTTCTGAACGTTGATTCGTTATGAAAATATATTGTACAAACAGCCCAAAAATTCGATTTTGGGGCTATTTGAAAAACGTGTCTGAAAGAGTGAAGACGAGCAATCGGAAAGTGTAGGCTCTCGATGCTATGAAGGTTCTATTATTGTTGTGTATTTGCCACCTATTTTTAGCAAACGGAAGTTTTTTCTTTATATTTCCTTTTTTGATTTTTCAGTTTAAAAATAGTTTCAGTTTAAATTAGAGAACTTGTCTCAGTACTTCCTTTTTTGATCTTTCAGTTTAAAAATAGTTCAGTTTAAATTAGAGAACCTCAATCTGAAACTTCATCCTCAATCGACATAAAAAAGTATTAAACTTTGAAGCGGAAAATGTGAAAGATGACATTAAAGTTACATATCGTTGTTCGTCATGTAGAAAGTATGCAGGATGTAGTTTTCAAGTTGATGTATTGTTTAATTCTCAAAATGAAATAATTTAATAATCAAACAATAGGATATAGATTAATCTTGTTCTTCAAAAATCGTGCACAAAAACATCTCCGTGCACATTTTTGTCTTTTCCTGTGCACCTTTCTGTAACCGTGCACAAAAATGTCAAAAGATTTTTGAGTGCACGGAAAACAGCAAACCGTGCATTCTGTAGTCCGTATATGAAAAAAAATTTCTCGTCCACGCGTGTATATTATGTTGCCCTTTCTGTAACATGTCTCTAACTGTATATATTTCATTCAAGTTGTTACTCAAAAAATTAAAAATATCTTTTTGTGGAGCCCGTGCCTGTCGAAGGGAAGAAGTTGCCCATCCGTGTGTCTTTCAAGTCTGTTCGCGCCCATCTATGACCGTCCGTGTCTTTTTTGAGCCTGCCCGTGCCCGTCCATGCCAGCGGCTACGAGAATTCCTGTGCCCATGCAGATCTCTAATGACGACCCCATGGAGAGAAATTAGAAAACTAATTTTATATTTCTCTCGTCTGTACGTAAGAGTGTCGATAAAATGAAAACGCTTCGCATATGCACGAAACGGTTAAAGTCTTCGCATACAATAACAGTGAAATTGAAATTGTCTTTAACATAAACTCCCCCTCACATTAGAAGCCTAGTCTGGCAAGAAATTTTTTGAAAATTGCCCCTGCCCCCACAGGGTACTTTTTGAGAAAATTTTGCCTTTCTTGCGGAACATAATAGAACCCTGGGCTTCTAATGTGTGCGGGGGTTGACTTTTATGAACAATAATTCTATATTATTAATGTATTAGCAAGTACTAATAGAAATAATATGTCGACTGAAGAATGTCTGTCTTAATTATTGGTATGAAGAGGAAATGAAACGGATATATAAGATAAAGGCATCGGTATTCAGCTTGTAAATATGTGCAAAGAGAAAGTCATTTTTTTAAACTCAGAATAGACTCTCCCTTGTTGCGTAATTTTTCGCCTATCTAAACATTAATCTGTAATGAATCTTTTCATAATTTCTTGAAAAGATTATTATATCACTTTCTTTTTCTACAATGGAAAAGAAAAAAAGTACAATATGGAAATGTGAATCATATTTGTCATGATTTAAAATAGTCGAATAAAGTAGAGCTACATGCTGAAAGTATGAGATTCGATTACCAAATGTTAGATGCACGACGCAAAAACACTTTGTAATATTCTTCTTTTGTTTTGTTTTTTTTTACAAATAAATAGATAACCTTGACTAATATTATTAATGAAAAAGTTCTAATTACCGTTCTGTCTTATGCATAATAATATTATAAAATATGATTGAAAAACAGTTAACAACATATTTAAATATATTGTAGAGTCATTTTTTCATGCTTCTCGAAATATCACGATGAAAGTTCATCAAAATAACAGCTTTTTATCGTAAAAAGTTCGGTTGTTTGAGTTGTACTATTCGTTTTTATTATTATTAAATTTCTATTTGTATTTCGTCTATGTGACAAAGAAAAGATAGAATCTTCATATTTTTCATTATCTTTTCCTTCAAGTCTTCTTCTTACTCGTCTTTTAAAATAAAAATAATTGAACGATGCATTTTGTATAACATTATAAAATTGATGTCTAAAATAAGATGATGCTAATACATAAAAATAAAATGATAATGAATAATTTAAATAAAATAATTTATTTGCTACTAGCCATGCTATTGATAATATTCTCTCATATTTATTGCTTAATATAAATAGTGTTGGACTACGAGTAAAACGATAGATTATTTCTACAATTAAAACAGGTGCACATAAAAGTAAAAATATAATCAAATGAGTTAATAATACAATAGATAAACGAAAATTACGACTAACACGTTTATGTTTTCGATGACGTAATACACGACGTTTGATATTTTTAACATTTGAAATAATAAATATATTTGCAATAAATATTACACAAAATGGAAGTATTAAAGTAAATAGAAGATCAATAATTGGACTAATATTTTTATAAAAAAATAAATAATATTCATTTGATAATAATGGTCCACAAACTTTTTTACATGGTAAAGATTCTGAATAACCAATTCCAATACCAAATAATAAATGTAAATTTAATAGAATAAAAAAAATAAATAATAACAATGAACTAACTAAAGCTGTTCGGCCTGTTCGAAAACACCGATAATTTTTTCTGGGTAATTTTGTTAACATTAAACGATTACAAGCTAAAAATACTAATAACCATGGACTTAATTCATCAAATATTTTTGTAAAAAATAAATGAAATCCACATAATATTGATGATTCTAAATGATGAACATTATTAAATATTTTAAAAAAATATGGACGACTAATTATAATTAAAGCAAATGTATCAGCAATAGCCACAAGCAATAGATAACAGCCACAAGATAATGAACGAAGTTTTTTTTTTGAGAATGTTATTATACTCAACAAATTACCAATTATGCCTGAAACCAACATAAAAGTAAATAGTTCATATTAAATGTTCATTAGATAGATATAAATACAAACCAGTGACAACAAGAAATGGAACAATAACGTTAATTTTCTCTTCTATTTCATCGATTAATGTTGTACTCGATTGATTCTGACACAAATTGATGGCTATGATATCGATAGAACTATCTAAAGAGAAAACACAAAGAATTACAATATTTATTCAACAACAGAAAAATTCATCTATTAATTTGTATTGATACTCGCACAATTTTAGTCAGCATTTTGCTACTACAAGAAAATATGAAATCGAAATAAAATAAATAGTTGATATTCACTAGAAGCAACCAAATTGAAGCATCACTACTTGAATGGAGAAAATTAGATTTGTCGTTATTTAACATCTATCTTTTCCGAAAGAAATTGTTTTATTTTTTCACAAAGAAAAATAAATGAATGAAAATCCAATAGAGAAACAGAATTGCTAAGAGCATGTGAGTTACTATGGTGCTGGATAATCACCAGGTTAAGAAATAGAACTTATGCTCACACGTAAGATATCATTTTCCAAATGGAATCATGCTTATTTGTGAATAAGCACTTTTTAAAAAAAATTTCAACAGTCTAGAATCGACCTTTTTACTTATAGATTCAATAATTATTAGAAATATTGAATCTCAAGTAATTCCATTCAGCTTTTCCATAGACAATCTTAGTAAAATTCATTGTAACTACGCTAGTTTTGTACGTTGTGTCGAGTTGTATTAGATGGTAGACACAAAAGTTATTGTCAGCGAAAACCATTCTCATGAACCGTCTGTTTCTATTTCATTTAAACATTTTCGAAAAAGGAGTAAATATAACATTCGAGAGAGGGCAAAAATTTGTCGGTATTGAATAAGTTTCCGGTTGAGATATGGAAAGGTATTTGTACTCTTCAGACTGAGCGCTCGGCGGCAGCAGCAATCCAAAAATCGTATTTTCGTAAGTCCTCTTTAATATCTAGAACATAATTAACTATCTACTATTTATACCAAAAAAAAATACAAACCATGCTTAAATGAATGACGAAAGAGCGAGTTCGACATCTCTTTCTGTTTGGGAACTATGTCGCTCAGAAACACGTCCTGTTTCCCAAAAATAGCTTTGATCTCGGTTTTTCTCAAAAATTTTAAATCAACTTTCTATAGAACATTTTTCTGAAGACATGTCACGTAGCATTATTAGAAACCAAAATATCAAAATCTATCTATAGTTGTAACTCACGACGTTTGAAGTCAGACGTTTGAAGGAGAGCTTGAAAACTTCAATGAAAACAATAGAAACTGTTTGTATTTGAAATTGAAAATATCTCACTCTAGAAACCATTTTTTTCGCAGTGAAATTATTATATTCAAAATTAACGTCAAAAACGGATTGGTGAAAATTATCTGATTTTTTTAAAGAACTTTTTGAAAAGTTAAAACTTAAAAAACATAGATCTTCAAACATATCATTGTGTCTGCGACGTAACCCTGTTTTAAACGATTTTAGAAAAGAATATAAATTCATACACAGCTCGGCAAGGGCCATAAAAGTAGCGTGATTAAAACGAATTTCATTAAGGTAGTGGAACTTTTGAAGAAGCCATATGGAATTATCCTTTTGCTAAACAAAGAACCAAATGTTCATAGACTTAGTTATTTTGACGTACTTGTGATAATTTGGAACTGAAACTGAGAAAATAGTGCCTTTTTATCGTTAAAGTTTTCTTAAAAATCATGTTAAAGCCCAAATTAATTTTGAGAATTTTTTAATCCCACAATTATTCAATCATAACAGGCACTAGGCTTGATCAAATTTATGACACTTTGGATTACTTTCTCAACGAATGCATTTTTAGTTAAACTTTAAAAGTTCGATCTAGCCTCATAGAAATTTCTCAAAATCAAATTTTTGACAAACAGTTTTGCACTGTTTTATTAAAAAAGATAACTTTCTGTGTCATCTAACGATTGGCGATGCCACAGATCTCTATCTTTATTCTATCTGAACTTTTTCAACAACAGAAGGATGCATTCTGTTTTGGAATGGATAGTAACAGTGTTACTATCCATATTAGGCATGCACCAGTTTTTAACTGGTGTTGGGGCATCCGGGAGAATTGCTATAAATCAGTTATCATGATTCTCTCAGAGCTGTAAAACATCTAATTTTGTAGAAAAATGTTTGCTCTACAAAATGCATTTGTTAAAAGA